ATGCACAGCATCTATTCAGCTCTGTTTTCCTGCATACTCTGTTTGTGGCAGAATAAGTGATCTGTGGTGCTCTGTGTCTGGCCTTAACTGTCAGCAGTGTATAGCCAGTAGCACAATCTTCTTTTTTTATCTCACCTTTTCATCTTCACCTACACCATCACTTACACATGATGTAACAGTAGATGACCAAACACAATTACCTCAAAACCAAGAAACTACCCCGACTCCAGAAACCATACATGACCTAAAATTTACTCAGGTGTACTTAAGAAGTCAGAAACTGGATTCTGAGAACTCTTTGCATTCTGATATTGATGTGTCTATTGTAATTCGTAAGGAACGAGAGATATACAAACATCCTCTTAACCCAATCTTACTGTTTGTATCATTTGATAAATATTTACCATCTCATAAAAAATTCCTCACAAGTGTGAATAAGAAGTACATTTTTTGAGGTATTATCCTATGAAAAGTGAAAAAATATTTGAAGTGTTGAAACGCAAACATTAGAGAAGAACTGATATAGGAGTTGGTAGATCTACTAAAAGGAAAACAATCTGAGGTGCAAATGGGTGTTCACCATAAAATATAAAGCCGATGGCATGATTAAAAGGTACAAAGCCAGATTGGTGGCTTTGCAGATTTAAAGAAGGTCCTTTGTAGACTCAAATAGTTACCTAAAGCATAGTTTGGAAGGTTTGGAAAGGTAATGTTTATAATAGGATACAAGCTAAATCAATAAGATCACACTTTGTTTATCAAGCACTCAAACTCAGGGGTAGTGATTGTTCTCTTGGTATATATTGATGATGTTATTATGACTGAGAATGATGAAAAAGAAATGATGATACTATAACAATGTCTAGTCAAGGAATTTGAAATTAGGAACAAGGGAGGTTGAAATGCTTTTACGGTGTTGAAGTAGCCCACTCAAAGCACACTTAAAATAAGAAATTTTTATTTCTCCAAAAGTACGTTAGTTATCTTGTAGAGGATACAGGTAAGATGACATGTAAACTTGTTAACCCACTAATTGATCCCAACCACAAGTTGGGATTGGCAAAGGAAGACACCAATGTTTGAAGGGAACACCGAGAAACAATGTCTTATTCAAAAAGAATACTAGACTAATATTGGAGGCCTATACTGATGCAGACTACGCCAGGTCAATGGTTGATAAGAGATCCATTACAAGCTATTGCACATTCCTTGGAGGGAATCTAGTCACCTGAAGGAGTAAGAAACAGATGTTGTGGCACAATCTAATGTTGAATCTGAATTTCGAGCTTAGCTCAAGGGGTTTGTGAATTGTTGTGGTTGAAGTTGATTTTGGAGAATTTGAGGATTAAGTGGTATGGCCCAGTAGACTGTATTGCAACAACAAATCAACTATCAGTATCACCCATAATCGAGTCTAGCATGACGAAACAAAGATATTGGCGTTGACAGACATTTCATTAAGAAAAAATTAGTCAGTGATTTAAATTTGCCTACATGCCTACCCGCACACAACTTGCAAATGTGCTCACTAAAGTTCTAAGTAATCCGACTTTTCAGTCAACCATACCCAAGTTAGGAATAGATGATATCTATTCACCAGCTTGAGAGGGAGTCATAGAAGTAGTGTGTATGGGTAAATAAATATATAAGGGTATAATAGGACATTTTGCTTAAGAATATTAATTCTGTTCTCCCACATGTTAAAAGTAGTTTTATGCCCTCCTTTTTCTTGTCGATTAAAATCACCTGTAAGGTAGCCAAAGGATATGGGTTAAAATCTTCTTTTAGTGCTTATCACCATAGATACCTCTCCATGCCCGTAACTCATCCTCTACAGACCAGCCATCACCTGACTACCCTCCCAAAGAACAGAGGGTGACACCAAAGAACAAGATGATCGCCTAACTCCACCATTCCCTTGCAAAAATAACACGCCTTTTGCAATAACTTTCCCTCTTTTAGTCGGGTCGTATATGGTTAGTATGCTTAGTATGCTTCCCCTTGCCGCTTTCCAAATAAAATAAGCCACTCTATGGGAGCTATGAATCCTGCCATATCTATTTTCAGCAAAACTTTCTGTTGGTCTTCATTGTTAATCAAACAAAAGTAAAAGGATATCACCGAAAAAAACACTCTTCAAATTTAGCTTCCAAATTGGCTCATCCAAGGTTCCTTGCAGCCTCGTAAAGTGGGAGAGAAAGTGAAATAGACTAAGAATCATTCCATCACTATGTCCCTCCTTATATCGAGCTAAAGAATAAATTTTGGTTAAGCACTTCTCAAAAGTCACGCGTTAACTCTATTCATCCACTCCCAAAACGTCAACCTCTGGCCCAATCTGACCCAACCCTCCATCTAATATGATGGTGAAACTCATCTCACTCTCTGCTGGTTCTCTTCCAAAGTCCCATGCTATGGGGAGTCTAGATATCCTAAAACATCATTCCATTGTGTCTGTCACGAACTTCGGTTCCATCACTCTCCATGAAGATTGCATAGCTCTATAATATTCTAGAGCCACTTTCCGAGAAGAGATTTCTAGAGCCCTCTGAATTGGAAGCTTAACAAAGCGTCAAGCCACCTAGTGAAATCTCCTCTCATCAGAATCACCTTAGAGGAAACGGTAGAGTGGACTCCAGCTTCTTCCGCACATTGGTAGGAATAAACAACGACAGATGGTATATTGATAAACTAGAAAGAGAGTTCTTAATGTGAAATATGATTAAGAAATAAAACATGAATAAGAGGGTATTTGGTGTTGCCGAAAGAAATGTGCTTGTATGTGCTTTATATCACTTAAAATACTAGAATGTCGATTTAGGAAAACAAATAGTTACATGTTAGGGGTACTCATTTTTTTTCCTTGCGTAAAGCTGCTTATTGAAACTTAGCAAGCACCTTGCTTATTACATTATTAAATGGGGAGAAAAGTAAATAGGTGCTTAATTTTGCTTATAACCACCCAACAAGCAAAATGAAATAACCTCTAAATAAATTTTAAGTTAGATATTGTGCAATTTGTGTAGATATTGTGCAATTTGTGTAATAATATAATGCTGTAAAATTTAGTATCAACTTTGTAATTATGCTGTAAAATTAGTACTTGGATGATAAGCCCATTCTTATGGTTCCTCAATAAATCTTAACTTTGTTATATCAATAAGTAATCTTTTTAACAAGAAAATGTAGTATCATTCATAAGGCACAACTCCAGTTTTTCAATGTATGTTAGGTTCAGCTAACATCTTGTTAAAAAGATTACTTATTGATATAACAAGAAAATGTAGTATCATTCATAAGGCACAACTCCAGTTTTTCAATGTATGTTAGGTTCAGCTAACATCTTGTATGAGTGGTTCGGATTTTTGAAAAAAAAAAAAAAAGGAAAGCTTGTATGACTCACTGTTGACCACTGAGCCTAGTGTTTGCTGATTTTGCAGGCTGGGCCATATGATAATTTAAAAGATGTTGCGATGAAAATTTTGCAAAATGATGTGGCTACAGTCCCTGTTATTCATTCATCTTCAGCAGATGCTTCATTTCCCCAGTTATTACATCTTGCTTCACTTTCAGGAATACTAAAATGTGAGCTTTTCCTTGATTCATTAAGCAATTGTTATCAACTTTTTTTTTGTTTGCCTGGAAATACATGGCTTGTTAACAATGATAAATTTCAGGTATTTGCAGATATTTTAGGAATTCTGCTAGCTCATTGCCCGTCCTGCAGCTACCGATTTGGGCAATACCTGTCGGTACATGGATTCCAAAATTTGGGGAATCAAATAGACGGCCTTTGGCAATATTGAGGCATCGAGCTTCTCTTAGTTCGGCATTAAATTTATTAGTTCAAGGTATGCTTGTTTCCATCAACTTCAAGAAGAAAAATATGGAGTAATTAGGAAACAAGATCAATTTATGATGTTTCTGGAATTTACTTCTGATAATGCTGAGAATATATTATCTCCAATGAGAACCTGAAAACTGATTAATGGAATTCATGAACAAGGTTTTTTCTGCATTCTTCTTATCTATTTCTGTTCAACTAATTAAGAAAGAGGAAAAACAGTTTATAAAAAAAAATCCTTGTTGGTGTTGGAAGCTTTTGTAGAGAAATTATGGAAAGTTATGCTTTTGTGATATTTCTTCATAATGATATTTTTTTTCCTTGTCTTCTTTGCAGCTCAAGTAAGCTCAATACCAGTTGTTGATGATAATGATTCTTTAGTCGATATATATTCTCGGAGGTAACTGTTGTTTTAGATGCAGTATACTTCAAATATTTAGAGTTACACTCCACTTTCTGGTGTAATAGTTCTTTTTTCTTTTTGGCAGCGATATAACAGCTTTGGCAAAAGACAATGCTTATACACATATTAATCTTAATGAAATCACTATTCAGCAGGTACCTAGCTCTATTTTTCTTTACAAAGTTATACTTCTTCTGTGCATTTGAAGTTAGACAAATTGTTAGAAATTTTAATATCTGGCTTTTTTAAGATAAAATTTAATATATGTTAGTTCGTGGTGAAGTCAGTTTAATTGTATATAAAAAGAAATCTTTGTCATGATAGTGGTCATCAAAAATTTGCATCACCCAAATTTTGGGGCTTTCAAAAGGTGTTTAGCTTAGCTATTGTTTTGGGCTTTCTGTGGCTATAAGCTTTACAGCAGTGTTTTAAATCTTTTTACATGTTTGGTAAGCACGCAAGAGCTTAGAAATCAGAGATTTATAAATCTTTTCGGCTATGTTTTTGGAGAGCTATTGGCCTCTAACTTTTATCTTAAAGAGATTATAAGCTCTGTAAAAAAAATCTTGTTGCTGCCAAGTAAAGTACTAACCGTCATTTAACAATTTACAAAATCTAAGTATATGTCATTTTCCAAAAAAAAAAAACAATTCATAAAATTATCACTTTTGTCATTTTGATACAATTAACAGCTTATAAGTTATATATGTAAGTAAATAAATACAGCTTATAAGCTCGAATTATCCAAATATTTGAACAACTTATTTTTTAAAAAAATTGTATCAACTTCTGCACTGTTAAAAAGCTTATAAGCTTAACAGCTTATAAGTTCTTATAAAATAAATCAGTAGGATATTTTATCCACTGTTTTTGCATTAACTCTTCTTCATTCTCAATAAAATTTCTTTCTTTTTCTATTCAAACAATTGTTATAAAATAAGACGAATCAAACATGAAGGCGAGTCAAACATCCTCTCACTATCTTAGGATCTATGAGATGTTTAAGTTTCTCCTAAAATATGAATTTGATTGATAGTAGTTTGATTGGGTGAATTTCTTGAGCATTTTAAGACTACTTCTTTGGCCTGTTGGGACTGTGGAAGGAGGTAAGGTTGGATGAATATGAGAAAGCATTTCCCGAAGTGGAGTTGTGATGGTATTGGTGAAACTATCCACCTTTGGCATGACAGTTAATGGTGAATTTTCTCAAGAACTCTTCTTTCTGAATTTGGAATTACGAAGCAACAGTGAGTTTCACAGTTGGAATAGGGGAAGATGGTTTTAGATGTGATTCTCCCACAATATGCAAATAAGATGTCCACAAGATTTAAGTTGTACAACACTAATAGCTATCAGGATATGGAGGATTCGAACTTATGGGAACTTTAAAGCTAGTGGGAGGTTCCTTTTATGTGATGAGCACCCTTACCTTCCCTTGGATGGCTTTTTGGAGGAAAGAGGTTCCTCTGGTGGTGGTAGCATTTGCTTGTAAGGCACCTGAGAAAAGTTTGATTATTGATAATTTGAGAAAGATAGAGTGAGGTTGATTCAGAATAGGCTAGCTACCATCTGAGGAAATTTTGATTACTGATAATTTGAGAAAGACGAGTAAGGTTGATGCGGAATAGGCTAGTATTATATTAAATGTAAAAGTGCTATACTATTTAGGAGGCTATATTATTGAAGAGTATCATTATAGTTTTAGTAGTTTAAGATTTTTATTCTTACTGGTATTTTGCTATTTGTATTAGGATTAGTATTTTTGATGTTAGTAATATTAATTTTTCATTTTTTGTTAGGATTAGTATCCCTAATTCTAGTAGTTTATTATTTCTTATTTTAATCTATTTAGGAAGGTTGTGTCCAGATTATTATAAATAGCTTATAATTTCACTCGTTGGAGCATTTAGTTATTCAATAATATTTTCAGAATTTGTCAATTTACTAGTTGTGTTATACAATCAAACTCTTAAATGTAATGCTTAAAACTTATTAAATGTGATGTTTAAGAAATCTTAGGTGTGATGTCTAAGTTTTTTTATCCCTAAATCCCTAATTGAACAAATCAATCTTATTTGGCCTACGTCAAAGGTATTGTTTCTTTGTAAAGATATACTTGAGACCGCCATTCATCTCATTTGTGCTGTCCTTCCATTATGGGGGATGACTGTAGCTTGCTTTGGTTATCTTGGGTGGTAGCTGGATCTGTTGGTTGGAAGTTGTGGAAGTGTTCAGGTTTTTGTGCTCCTAAAGGCTTTTTTAAGGCCGTAACTTGGGGTAGCTCTTGCTCATCTCTAGGTATTGTGGGGGGAAAGAAATAAAAGTATTTGGTGGAATGGAATTGTCTAGTCAGTTAAAGATGTAGGAATCTTGTAGTTTTGTGCTAAAGGATACTGCTTTGTTAAACAAACCCATGAAAACTCCTTAAACTACATGTAATTTTTCTCTCGTAATATATATAAAGATATTTGGATGGCGCTGTGTACAGTACTTTTTATGAAAAAAGATGATTCTTGCTAGTTATAATTCAGTTTATCTTATTTGATATTTGATGATTGGTCTGTTTATAATCTGAGCGGCAAAATTTCTTCAGTGTTTTGAGACCATTGCTTTCTAGATATAATTTGATTTATCTTTTCTGATTTTTTTTAGAATAATATCTTTTCTAAATTTGAGTATTGTTAGTTGTTTTTTTAGAAAAAAATGTGTAGTATATATTAATAAGGTACCAAAAAGGAGGTACTACTCATGCACAAAAGATTTACAAGTATGTTAGCATATCAATAACTTGAGTATTGTTGTTAGTTGTATAGTTTCATTGATAGTGGATATTGAATATGTTTGAAATTCTGTTCACTCTGGCAGGAGGCTTAAGAGTTCAGGACTCAGAAATTATAGCCAATCCATGTTTTCATTATGTTTGGTATTCTGGAAGTGTGTGAGGCTGTTGGGATTTATGGATGAAATGGAAAAGTTGAGAAGAGAAGAGAGGAGCAAGGTTCGCAAAGACTGCCCTCCCAAAAGATTATGAGCAGAAATGTAGGAAATTACATGGATGAAAGGTTTACATAAGCAATTGCAGTTCTGGAGAGGAATCCTTTATCGGGTGATTATGTCATAGCTTCATAAGAGTTACATGATCAGGCTGTTCAAGTTCTATATAATGGCTTTCTTAGAAAAGCTGATTTATGCTCAAGTGAGTTTTAGAAGAGAAACTGCATGGAAGATGATCCTTTAGGACTTAAAAGCCACTTAATGGTTTTGCTTTCCTATTATTGCAGAAGATGCATCCTGCAAAATGTGAAACAGTTCCGCAATCTGTATGATTGTTATATAATTTTTGTAACGATACCAGATAAATACTTTGTGCATAGTGAGCAACATTAGATCAATGATCCTGTGGAATTGTGCATTTAAGCATTCCACCCTTAGGTCCTTAGGAAGTATGGTCCATGGAGGAGTGCTTTCTTGGAAGTCTTACTTTTTTGTTGTTAGAACTCTGTTCTTCTAATTGGTTGCTTCATATTCCATGAGATAATTTTGAAGATATGTACTGCATCGGAAAGCAAATAGTGGTGAAACTTCTTCTGCACCTCTAAAGTATTGTACACTAGACTTCATTGAAGTCTTGGACATATGTGCCTCATCGTCTTCCATCCAAACTTTGATGGGACAATTAGCAAAGAGAAGTTGAAAAGGGGAAAACAACATTTTAAAAATTAGTTTTGCTAGATACCCATTTTCCTGTTTTCCTTTAGAATGATTGCTTGTCATCCTATTTTCTACTCGTGCAGGTTAGTTTTGAAGAACCTTGTTTGTTGTTTGTGTCTACGAGAATTTAGTTTCTCCTGTTCTCTTTTTAACTTCATTATTTTGTGTCTCTGCCATGATCCCAAAATCATCTAGGCTTTGCAGCTGGGACAAGATTCATATTCTTCTTATGAGCTGAGAAGTCGAAGATGCCAGATGTGCTTACGTACAGATTCATTGCTTAAAGTGATGGAGCGACTGGCAAATCCAGGTAATTTCATCTTTGTTTTTAACTTGCATCCTCTTAATTTGTTTTGCTAAAGGATATAGCGGTTGATCTTATTGAAGAACAAGAGCAAATTGTAAATTTGTGAGCCATGCATGACTTGTTTTGTTTTGTTGATAAAATGATGTACCTTATTGTAAGATGCCATTTGTTTAATGAAAAGTTTTGCTCTCTGCTGATAACCAAATAGAATTTTCATGAGTCTGCAGTCACCACCATGTTGTATTTTTGATATTTTTATGAAATTGTCGTTTTGTATGGTTGAATTTATTAACTTTTAGATTTTATTATTAATGTTTAAAAATTAATTACATTTTTTGTATGTAACTAAATCAATTTCACCCATATGTTCAATTTCAAAATAATGAATTTGCATTTTCACTTTTCGAGAAGTCAATTACAAAAATACCCAATTAAAACTGAATCTGAAATTAACTTGGAATTAAAAAATATTTGCATTCAAGTTATTCTACTTTTATGTTATTTTCATTTCGTGAAATTTAAATGTAAATGAAACTCAAATTCGTGTTCTAACTGGGCCTCTTATGAGGAGTTCCCACACTAATATAGTTGTTCCTATAATTTGAGCTCTCAGGTGTTAGACGGCTTATCATTGTAGAGGCTGGAAGTAAACACGTGGAAGGAATCATCTCAGTTGGTGATATTTTCAGGTTCTTGCTTGGTTAGTTTTGTAAGTGATTGTTGAATATTGTTGTCGAAGAGGTTTTGTGAAGTGGCTTTGGTGTTCTCGCATCTTGTGGGCGGCATCATCTCCTACCTGGCTTATAGTTTTGAAGAGACTCCGGAACTTCTCACGGGGTCTGATCCATTTCTTCACGATACCATTGGTTTGGCCTCTTTCTTCTTAGCCTGTTGCCCGGTTCTCTTCGACTGAATTTAGGCTAATGGGAGCCACATGTAACTTAAGGAGAGTATTTCATTCTCCCGAAATTTGTTCATCTCCACATGACCATATTACTGTCTCAAGTACAACATGTTACACTGTAGATGCCCTGTCCTGGGGAGTTAAAATAGCTTTTTCATGGTACACAAATTTATTGGAAAAGAAATGGGAATTCATAACATTTAAATGGGCATTCTGTTTATATTTCAATTTGCATTACAGATTTGGAGATCCATTGACTGAACCAGCAATCAGGTGTGTGTGTGTGTATATATATTTTTGTAGGGATGATGATATCAACAGTGTTGTTGAGGAGGTTGTTCATAGAGAGAATTCGCGTCTAAAACCGGAACTAATGTGGTTTTTTTTTTTTTTGTGTTAAAGTGCGGGTTCGGATTGGGTTAATATGGCCGGAAGGAAGGGGTAGTAGACTTGGATTTGGCATTCCAAATTTTATCCGGACGCAGCCTTTTTAACTTTTTATTATTGTATTTAAGTATGTTTATATAAATAAATAGATGTATTATATTTATATTGATAGATATAAATAGTATATGTTAATATGTATTAGTAATTATATTTTTATTAATATAATAAAATTACTGAATTAATTCTGGATCACTAATGTAATCCAAAAATAATTTTAAAAAAAATTTAAACTCACCTGGGATTCGAGTTTACATTTTTGTAAAAGGAGGTCGAGTTTGAATTTAGTAAAATTTGTCGAAAATCTGTCATGTTGATATCCTTATTGCTCAGGATCATATGTTCAGGCAGCGGATATATCAAGGAGGAGCAAAGCTCCCACTTTGAATTATGAATTGTTATTTGCTTTTGAGAATTTTAAATAAGATGGATCATAATATTTATAGTAAATTATCAAATTAGTTTTTAAATTTTAATATTTATTATAATTTAATTTTTAATTCTTTTTTATTTTAAATGCTTATTTTTTATTTTTTATTTAACATAAATACTAAAATGATTAGGTCATATTTTGATGTGATAAATATTAAACATTTATTTTACTCTAGTTATTAATAAACCTTTAACTATATTTTGATATCACAATTTTCATTGGTTCTTAATTAATTTAATTATTTTATACCAAAACTCTTTTTTAAAGTGTAGAAACAATTATCATCCTAGTTCCCAACTCACTCATTTGAAATTTGTTGTTGCTTTATTAACCCTTGTAAGATATTTCACTTAAAACTATTCTTTCTTAAATTTTAGATAATAATAATAATAATAATGGAAAAGAAAAATCAAGAGCGGTCCAAAAGATGAGTAATAAAATAATACTGAAATTTATTAATTTGCAGAAACAATTTAGAATTTAGGGTTACGTTCTTTGCACACTTTGGTTAAAATTCCTAATAGAGCTACATGAATACCCTTAAAGAATATAAAAAAATATATATAATTCGAAAAACCTATGTGATCAACCTCCACTGCACAATTGGAAAAAACGGGAGGCAACGTTCTACCTAGTTTTTTTTGTTGTTCAGGATCCGAATCTTAATTATCTTGATCCGAAATGGTTAATAATAAAATGTTGAAATACACTAACTCATTAAGAATATCAATGTCTTACCACTGATACGAAAAATTAAAGGTTTATAGAAATCGTAAAACAACTAATGAAGTTCATTTTTCTTTCTTAAATAAATTCATTTAACTGAAAACATTAATTCCTCACTCACCTGTAAGTTTTCAAATGCCATTTATGGATATAAGAATCAGAATAGTAATTCGCTTTATGTATTCTAAACAACCAACAATAATTAACCTTTATCATTTTTACTTGATTACCGATGTTGTTGGGGGTCTATAAGGGTCCCCACTACACGTGGACCAAACATCCATTCAATAAATCAAACTACTGTCTCCATAACCCGTCCGGTAATAGGCGCCAAACATACCACCGCCTCAATACCTCATCCGGTAATGAGCGTAATCAAAACAATTCCCAACCCCTTTCGATATGGCACTTCTCAGCCTTGTCTGACTGAGAGTAACGGTCACAGTAGAGTTTACCCTATATACCAGGTCCGTACGCTCTTTCCTATGACAGCCAGTAAACTTTTTAATTTAACAACGTTGCTTACACATACAAATTTTCATTACTATCTAGTCACCAAATATGTACAAAACTCATATTTCGCAATTATAAGAAAACGAAACGATCAATTAATAAGCGATATAAATTAAAATCCAACGGTTCAAGAAACGTAATTAAGGCATTAGTTGTAAACTGATATAACGGAACAAAAATGAAAACAATTTGAGCAGACTGAATTGATAAAAAAAAAAATTAAAGTACACTAAGATAAAACGAAATAATGGTAAAAAAATTAAGATAACATAACATTAAATAGACAACACGGATAAATTAGGGACAATTATAAACTGACCAGTTACTGTCTCTATCGATAACCTATGTTCAATTAATAAAGGGGTCACCAATAATTTATAATTTTTTTATTATTAATTTGACTTTAATTTAACCGTAACAAGAGAAGGGATGAGGAATTCTTATCATGAGTTGGTATTCAGAACACCCCCTTTTCCATTACGCTTTCCGTTTCCTGGATTTCTTGAATTTTTTCTGCTAAAATCAGAACTTAAGTCAAATAACGTGAAAATACACAAAAAATGACCAAAATTCTCACATGGGCCAATTTAGGTTTCGGCACGGCACCACCGCCAGTTTCGCCTTATGAGGTGGCTCGTCCTCTCGGTCATGCCAGTTTCAGCTAATTCTTGGTAAAAACCTGCTCAATTCGTTGTTAGACGTCTGTTGGTGGAAAAAAAATGAGAAAATCGAAGCTTACTGGTGGTTTTGGCTCTCTAGTGGGGTGGCTCCGCTGCTTCTTCCTTGCGATTGCGGATTTCCTTCGACTACCCTGCACCAAAAAGCATGTTAGATGGCCTAGGGTCGAGATATAGAAGGAACAAAAAAAGGGTTCGGTCGGGCTCACCAGAGTGTTTTTTGATTTTGGGTATGGCACCTAAGCCGAGCTCCGCTCTATGCTTCTAGCTTCTCCTCAGGTTTTCCTGCATCAAGAAGGGTTTTGGGTAGCTTAGAATGGAAACACAAGATAAACAGGAGAAAATTGCGCTTACCGGTGTCAATTTAGGTCTCCGATGCGGCAGCAACAGTGGTCGGTTTCTTCTCCGGCCGCCTTTCTTCATCTTCTTCTCCAGCGAACTGTTATGCGCCTAGAGTTAGGGTTTCAGTGGAATAGGAGTTTAAATACTCATCTTCTCTTAATCTGGGTCATTTGTTCGGGGACACATGGAGCAGTGAAGGTCGTCCCATCATGCCTAATAGGGGAACTTATCTGGACCATATGATTGGAGACACGCAGACCGTTTGATTGAACCTATTTGAAGAATCGATCTCGATCATTCATGCGCACGGGAGTGGCCCTAAGTCGTTCGATCAGCCTTGCACACAGGTTGCCCGTGTGGCTTTCCGCGTGGAACTGTGATGGTATGTCTGTCACGTGGCGCACGATGATTCGTCGTGCTGCTAACGTGACCATTCTACGTGGTCGTATTTTTCTTTTTTATGATTTAGCCCATGTTTTTTAACTTTTCTTTTAAATACACTCTTTTTTTATTTACAGTTTAGCCTTGACTTTTTGAAAATTGTTTCAAACACGTCCAAAATGCATATAACTAAAAAATTCTTAAAAAATTGAAATTAACAATTTTCATAGTTATTATTTAGAATAAATTTTGCCATTCTGAGTCTAAATTCTAGACTCGGGGGTGTTATAATACAACTCTC